TATATATATATATATATATACACATATATGCACAAACATATGTACAGCGATCGGCATGTTGGCAGTGTGGTTAGCTGGTTGTGTGTCAATCTATATATCACGACCGCTATCGGCACTGCAATTATGACGGTCGCAAATCTGCTGCTACCAGGAGAAGCATTGTTGACGATCTTGAAAATTTCTTGGATATGAAAATTGTTCAAAACCGAAAAAAATTGAAAATTGAAAATGGCGCTAGAACAATATATCATACTAATAATTCAAAGTTAAAATTATTATTTAAAAATCTTTCCACTTTGCCATTATACAGGATGTTTTTTAACTGTGTGTTTATCAATACTTCAAATTAGCAGAGTCTAAATAAGAAAAAAAAATCGTATAAATATAAGCTCAATTTTAGGCACATTTTAAAATCATAATATTAAATCGTATCTGAACAATCATAGTATGCATCAAATGCCAAAGATGATAGGCATTTCGAATATTTATAGGACAATGCAAACTTGAATTGACCAGTTTTTTATTTTATTTCCAGATCTGCCTATGTATCTTTTGGAGGTCTGCTGATGAGGTTACAAGGTGATGCGAACAATCTGCACGGCTTTGAGATAGATCAACATATGTATCTATTAATGAAGAAACTTGCATTTTGATATTTCTACCGTCAATTTTTTATCATTTAAAAATTCTTTCAACAAATGTATCTATTAGTAGTGGAGAAATTTGAATTTTGTGTTCTAATATGTAATATTAATACACCAACTGATTTATCATTTTTTTTTTACAATCATATAGACTTACTGTATTTATATTAAATTTTCTTTTATTTTAATGATTTATTCTGACAGGTTCATATACAGTAATTTTATATTCTAATTAACAATAAGTTATATATGTATGTTAAATAAGCTTACTACTGCCAAAATTACTATTAGATTAATTAAGGGAAATATAAATATTTTTCATTATTTGTTGGAATCTTTTTTATTTACCGATCCTTGTAGTTACAGTTATCATCATTCGCTAAATGTGAAACAGCAATAATATAATTTGTTTAATGGAATAATTTTTAAATGGAAAGATTGTTTTAAGTTATGAATTGAATTATTATTTTTGAATAAATTATTTCTTAAAAATTCGAAAGATTAATACAATTAACTTGAAATCACATAAAACTTCTTATCGATATTTCGATATTTAATATTTAATATTGCCTTGATATTTAATAAAGAATCAAGGTTTCTAAGAATTGATCTTTCCATTAAAGATTAAATCGCGTTGATTATACAGTTGGGATTATACAGGAAAAGCAATGCAAATCTTGGATGTTGACCAATTCGTCGCAAAGTGCATCACCAAGTGCGCCATCAAGAAACAAAAATAGGTACCAGGTATTGCATATACTTCTCTATTTGTTCACGTGTTCGTATATATGCGTTCCTGCAAATACACATGTATATTCCGCTATGTAATTAGCCAATCGACATTTGTACACTCTCAGAATGACAATCTGTTCCTTTGATACGATTCATCTTTTTTAATTTTCGATGGATAGATTGACTGCGATTTGGATGCTTTCAGCGATTTTCAATACTTCCATTTTTATTTATTACGTCTAATGAACGATAAAGAACGATGATTAGAAGCGCTTAAAGCACGTGAGTGTCTAAATCGACCGCAGTCATTTTGTGCTGAGTAAATTAAGAAATTTGTTATATATGTATATCCACACACATGCGCGCGCGCGCGCGCGCGCGCGCACACACACACACACGCACGCATACACGCACACGAAAAGTGTGAAATATTCGCAGTACTAACACTATCATTGTTGTAATAAGGAATAGAAAAAAATGTCAGAAATTTTATAAAAAGTGAAAAGAAAAATGTTTTGAATAAAAAATGGATTGTGAAATAAATTATGTGCGATTATTTTAATTAAATTTCTTTGCACTCCTAATTTGTACAATCAAAATGATGTACAAATCATCAGTACATTCAGACTTGTATTGGACGCGAAAGGGCGCAGGATCTAATAATATAAATATATACTGCGACGAGCGAGTGAGAGATGGACTTGGCGACGCGACGTCTAATTTATGTAATTAAAGCCGAGGTATTCCTGACCTTGCGTGCGCGGTTGCAATGCTGTGCCCTCATGCGTTGTCGTTGGAATGGAGATGCAAGCGACAGCGCGTGGGTCGAACGCATCTCAAATGGCGGACATCGCTCGGGATATTGCGTAACATTCATTCGTTCGTGCGCAAAATGGCCGATGCTTAATAAGGGTCCGATCCTAAATAGATTGGCCCAATGACATATAATTCGCTCTCGTCTCTGCTCGCCGTTGCATAATATACCTTGTAAATAGTTGGCAAATGAATAATCGATGTCTCGAATTCAATCATGATGGATCGAGATGTTTAACGAATGAATTTAAAAAGTGCGTTATTCCTACTATTTGACTATTTTATCATAAAAAAAGTTGCATATAAAACAAAAACTCTTTATTTAATAGTTATCTTAAGCGTACAAAATTAAAATTTCAATTTTTTGTTTCCACTGGCTTATTTACATGTACTTTCTTTGCGTTGTTTAATCAATATGTATTCAGTTTCGTTGTGATAATAACACGTAAGCATTGATCAAACGATGTGCAAATAGCAAGTCCTTGCTTGTCCGGGCTCCAATCCAAAGAACTAATAGGTTGCGATGAGAGCGTACAGTTTTGGAGCAAACTAATATTGCCCATAATTCCTTGCTCAATACCATCAACATCCGTAACTTTTCTTTTCTCTGGATAATTACTGTAAAACAATAAACAATAAATAGATTTTCAAACATTTTTGCAGGATGTAATGTAATTGTAGTTATATATATATAAAAACATGAACATATATATTTACTATTTCCAAAGACAAATTGTTCCCCCACCGCCACATGTCGCAAATAATTCACGATTCTGCGGCAAATGCTTGACTAGCCATACCGTTGATTTGTGTGCCTAAAATCATGCAATTTACAGATTGTAAATACATATTCATAGAGAAAGATAAATATTAATTTTTATTAAAAATAATACCTTTTCAACAAGATAAGCAAAACCTTTTTTAGGATGCTGAGTCTTCAAGTCAAAAAGATAAAATTTGGATTCTAGTGTAGTAGCAACTAGTTTATTCATGGGAATGTCCTTTCTATCGAATTCAAGACCACAAACTCCATTTTTCAAATTACTTTCCCATCTCAGTGACATAGCCCTTAAGTCGAACATTTTAACATCTCCGTTATCATATCCCGCTGCTACTACTCTTTCTTCGGAATTGTAAGAATTGCCGAATCCAACTGACCAACAGTCTCGCCGACTTTCTCCTTCCTTAGGTTCCATAACAGCAACTGGTCGATTCTTTTGCCTAGGATCCCATACTTTTACACTTCCATCTCTAGATCCAGTTACTAATTCTGGTGCTCCACATCCTATATTAGCACCTGCTATTCCATCAATGGCATTTATAATCTGTGTGTGAGCATTAGCCGAATAAATAGGTATTGAAGGATCTTCTAAATTATAAATATTTAATTTGCCCTGTAAAATTAGCCTTTGTAATTTATGAACCAAATGAATATCGCAATTAAAATCTTCCTGAACACAACAGATATGTTAGAATAAGAGAAACCTTGAAATCACCAGTAGCCAAATATCTATCACGAAGACTGGACGCTTTGAATGTTCCACATTTTATTTGATTAGATCTTTCTATATTCTTGACAAGCTTTAATTCGCCACTAGACACCTCGTAAATCTGTATAATGCCGGTACCTCGAGGCCGAGAACCTACAACCACGAATTTTGCACTGCACGGTATCCACTTTGCATCAAACAGCGAGTAGTCTACCGATTTCTCAATGTGACAAATTATTTGCGGCTTCGATAGTTTATCCATATTCGCGAGGAAATTCTCTCCGACTTTAACACTGCGAGGAAAATTTGTCTCGATTTTGACAGCATTTAGATTATTTGCACTAGCAATCATAAACAAACTAGTACGCCATCTAGAAATCGCTGTTTCAATCAAGAAGAGGGACAATTAGCGCCTCTATATGCAAATTATAGTACTATATGCGTTCAGAATCGCAAGGAGCAAAAAGAATTAGGCTGCATTTTCATGCTGACGCTCGATTTAGTATGAAAATGCAGCCGTAGGACCTGCGCACAATAGGGGAATAGGAATAAATATTACATATTAGGAATAGAAACTAGGAATTATTTTGTTTTAAAACTAATAGAGATTGAATAAACTAACGCACAATGAAGGAATTAAGTTCTAAACACAATACAAAGGAATATCAATAGCGATAGAAATAACACGATTTCGATCTATAAGAAATCAGATACACTGGAATATACAGTTTCTGATAGGTTGAAATCGTGTTATTTCTATCGCTTTCGCTATTCCTTCACATTATGTCTGAGGCTTTAGGAATAAAAAGGATGAAATATTAGAAATAAAATATTAAGAATTTAATAGTTGTAAACATGGTCGACCATAGACGAATTCCATAACAGAAAATAAGGCCCTGCGCATAATAGAAAGAAATTAGGAATAAAGAATAAACGATTTTAACCTATCAGAAATCAGATATATCGGAATATACGGTTTCTGATAGGTTGAAATCATGTTATTTTTTATTCCTAAATCCTTATTTTTTCTATTGTGCACAGGACCTAATTCTAATATTCAAAATGACGTTGAAAATGACGTTGAAAATGAAGTTGAAAATGAAGTTGAAAATGAAGTTGAAAATGAAAATGTGGATATAAAGAAAAAGATGCGTTATTAATTGACTTAATAAGATCGTATCCACATTTATGGAACAAAGAAGATAAAGATTACAAAGATGTAAATAAATGTGACAAGTCGTTGGTAAGAAATAGCTATTGTAATGCGTTTATCCGGTAAATGTCTTTTTATTAAAAAAATAAATATTTATATTTGTTAAAATGAAATATTGCTTGCTTTGAACTTTTACATTATATTAAAATGTAAGAATTTGTCATACATTACAGGTTATAATTTGTGTTATAAACGCAACTAAGTAATATACTAATATACAAATACACTAATATACAAATATATTAATATACTAATATATTAATATATTATATACTATATCTACACTTTTCAGTAAAGGAATGTATAAGTCGATGGTGTAGATTATGACAGTATTATTCAAAGGAAAGACAAAGCCAAGAAAATATACGAAGCGGTTCTGTACCTATTGTAGAAAGAAAAGACCATGGAAATTATATGAACAAATGTTATTTATAGACAACCATATATACAAAAGAAGGTAATATTCTTTTTTTTGCTAAAATTATAAATTATTTACTGTAAATAGTTACTTGTTAATAGTTTTATTTTGATTGATATATGAATTGCTATTTTCAAAATTTGCTTATTTCATAAATTCACATTTTACCCTTTTATACAAGAAAAACAGAACTTGATTTAAGAGACAATATAGATGCTTTTCAACAATGTACATAAGCGACACTAACAAAAGAATGTACAATCTGGTACTTTCCAACTACGATACAACTCAACATAATCGTAACAGTTAATAGCTGAGTTTAACTTATGTTGGAAAGCACTGGATCATATACTGTTGCATAGTGTTGCTTGTGATATTACTGAAAAGTATCCAATGTACAACTAAAGATATTAAAATATTCATGTAACTAACTATTATCATTAGATTTAGCTACTTTTAAAAATGGACAACTCATATATTTCTTTTTATGTTACTATATTATTATAGTATTTAAGTTACTATATTATTATATCATCATTATCTTTATTATTATTTTAGACGAAGATATACCAACATCAATAGAACAATAAATGACCCTTACAGTTAAATGTAAGTCAGTGAGAAACACGCAATAAATATTTAAATTTAAACATAACAAATGAGAATAATATTAACAAGCTCGAAAATTAATATATTATAAACTATACTATATCAAATCATGCATTTTTTTATTATAATTGAACGTTTTGCCTTACTTTGGAGCTTTATCAGCTCAATATAGCTACTTACTTATTTATCATTAAAAAGTTCTTTTAATTTTTTATTATGTTTTTTGTTTGTGTTATAATGTACATGTTCGTTTTTGTTACCTTTGTTTTTGTTACCTCGTACTAAAATTATTTATCAAAGGATTTCTTTCACTTTGAATTTGACAATTCTAGAAGTAATTAATTTTTGGTGGAGCATGGCAAATTAAAACGTGTAATATTGGAAGGATCCCGAATAATATTGCTTACAATCCTGATTGCACACTCATATCAGCTGGTGTCTAATAATTTTTCACTGCTTTACCAATGAGAATATTTTATTTTTAAATTGGCCAATTAGCGACGCATGTGTGCAACATGCAACGTGTGTAATCGGAGCCTTTCCATAATAGATATGATTAATTTTTTGCGCTTGTTAACCGTGCTAATATTCTCATTAGTCTGATTTAAATTTGTCTCATTTTTGATAATCCATATATTCTTTATTTACAATTAACTTACAGAGCTTTGACATAACATGTTACAATAATGTCTTGAAATTATTATAGTATATTAGTATATTTTTAATTATTATGCAGGGTCTACAATAGAAATCGCAACGGCCGTAGAGTTTTAAGTCGTAGAAAATTGACCAATCACAATCGATTATTCTTCTCGATTGTGGTTGGAAATTTTTTACTACGATTAATTGCTTATAGATTTTATTATGTCACTCAGCATTGTTAAGATTATTTTAAGATGCAAAAATATCAAATTGTTAAATTGCTAGTCAATTAATTCGTGATATTACTGCGGTAGTTTGCGTTTCAAAATTGAGTAACTATTATTCTTAATTGTAAATAATTTATAATAAATTATATTATTATTACAAGAATAACTTTACATATCTTTAATTTACAAAAATATATTATGCGCATTAACTTCTACATATTAGTCATAAAAGACTTTATCGAAGTTATTAGCTTCAACTTAAGACACGTAATTAAAAGTGTGGTAGATAAAAAACATTCAATAAATACCTTGAAACCTGGTGTAAAGACATTATATTACAAGGATAGTAACATTTACAGTTGATTATAATTTGTACACTTTAAAAAAAATTCTGCGAGAAGTAAGCAAGCTAATCTAGATAATCTCTCTAGATTATCTATGTGTTCATTCTGTCATTCAGTACTTAGTTGATGTGTACATATTTCATCCTTCAATATAAGCACCTTACACAGTAATTCTCGCAAAGTTTCTAGAGGATTTGTAAAAACTCTTTCTGAAATTAAAAGTATTAAAACTCATTTGTGTCTCGTGCAGCAAGAATTAATTCAAACTACTTGCCGACGACCTGGAAACTATACTACTAGCGAAGACGCTACAGGCTGCATTGACACCATTAATAATCTTTTGCTCATTCTTTGGTTTGGGTTTGTTCGAATATCCTCTTGAATATTCTAAGCCAGGTCTCTTTCCTGTACGTCTTGACCATATGGAGCTTTTTTTATTATCCATTCTACTCCTATGTCTATTATAATGATTTATATTATATTGTGCACAACTGGAGGAGCTTTACAATATTCATCACCGCGATTACATTGATAGCTGTTAGCTTCTTTTATTTCAAGGTAAAAGTTATTTATTATTCATAGTTTCTAATACTGTTTTATTAAAATTTTTTAATTTTTTTAAACCATTTTTTTCATTAAGAGCATTAAAGGCGTCTTGATCTTACAATTATGAGCAAATACAAATAACCCCACACAATCAAGAAAAATAGGTTTTGGTCAAATTACTTCAAATTTTAATATCTTTCAAATCATGTCAAGCCGCGATTAAAAGTCCTCAAAGGCACAAACTTCTAAATGCCTTAGATTTTGCTCCAGGACTTTCGGAAAATCATCACATCTTATACGGAAAAATAATAAAAATAAGTCTTTTTTATTTCGATTATTTCCTTTTTTTCGTTCATTTTTCTTTTTTCTTTTTCTTTCACTCTTTTTGAGTTTAATTCTGGCATTAAAAATCGAGGTAGAGGAGCTCATCATGACAGGATAATTTTTATTCACAGTTTATGTATGTTAGTTTGTGTTGTCTCTGAAGAAGGCTCAAAAGTAAGCCGAAACATGTAAGCGCGTTTTAGTGAATAAAGAAATTTCATACTTCATAAATATTATTTGCGCGATGTCTTCTGCGCTTGACTCCTACTGTCCGTATCCTGTCCAGTTTCAAGTCTTTTTTATTAACATTAGTTATAAATACTGTATAATATATCATAGATATATATAGTATACATATATATTAAAAAATGTGTCAGACATAATATTATGAAAAAGTATTATATTTTATAAAATATTATTATAGTATAATATTATTATAGTATTATAGTATAAAACATCCTGAAAATAGTTTTATTTTATTTTCTAATTCCAAGAAGCATATTAGGATTTCTAAAGAGGAGACTAATAAAAATCAAGCCTATCCTATATCAAGCCTATATTCTCTATCCTATGAGAAGCAGGGGAATTCATATAAATCACGCATCTCAAAAAAATGAAACGCTCGTCATGTCCAAGTTGTTCATTTTGCGAAATTCTGTGAATAAACGCAACTACAATTATAAATGTACCATTTGATATATATAGAAGTATAGTAAAAAAGATTTAGTTCGATTTTTTGTACTTATTCATATAAAATACGAAAACTTTCTGTAGTTTCTAGAATAAAAAATAAAACATTTGAATCATAAAGAATTTTAATCAGCTTGATATAAGATACAAATTAAACATTAAAATTTAAAGAAATTTGAACGAAATCCATTTTTATAAGATATGTGCGGAGTTCTTTATAAAAAGTTTTTGGATAAATTAATTTTTATGTTTATAAAAAACATTATTTAATGTAATGTCAAAAACTTTAATAAAATTAATATTTGTGTTTATATTACTCTCTTAAATTAGTTTTGAAACACATAACATTTTTTAATTTTATGTTTCGAATACTTGTAACTTTTTTGTCTATCACATTTTTTTATATACATTGCAATAATAATATTTATTTAAATATAACTTCCTTTTATCGCATAATTAATTAATATGCTTTTTTCAAGGAATTGAAAATGTGTTTGCATGAATTTTCCTTAGTGGATGACACAATAGAAACAGTCGGTTCGCCAAAGAAATACCAACGTCTGCGTAAATGGATAATTCAAATAATAATCGGATATATACATGTTTTATTAATTTGCAACATGTGTTTACACCATATTTATGTTTGGAGATCAGAATAACAAAAATTTTGTTTCTATATGTCTGTGCTATTTGCTTATTTCTGGAAAGCTTGATGTAAATACATGTCTTAAGTGCTCTAATTTGTGGAATTATCGTTGGGTTAGTGTATGTATTTGTGAACATTTATTTCGTAAGCTATTTTTTATTAATAGTGTACGTCAAAATGACAACCTGTGTGAAACATTTTTTATATAACTTTTTGTCAGTATTAGTATTGAAATTATAAAGATTGTATATAACATAACCTAAATGGGAAAATGATAAAAGTTTATTTTATTATACACATATATAGTAAATATAAAATACAGGGTGTCAATTATGTACCGGGACGGTCAAATATTTCGACAACTTCCAACATTAAAAAAAAACGCTGAAACACGTGAAACGATTTTTCAAAAAATCTACTTTCTGCGGGGGGTGGCGCCCCCCCCCCCCCCCAAAGGGACCGGGGGGGCGCGAGGGGGGTCGAAAATCTTAAATGGCAACATAGGGCGAGTAGCCCTTCCATAAGCCTTAACTAAGTTAATGAGTAAGAAAAATTAAAATTAAATTTTTACTTTTCGTTCTTCACTTTGTAAACGAACTTAGGAATTTTTGCTATTCATTTGCATTTTTCATAAGTCAACATAGCAATTTTAGTTATTCGATTAGGAACTATCGATAAACACAAGCCTTTTTCATTTTTTATAAGTCTACATAGCAATTTTTGTAAGTGAAACCGGTTTTTCCTTAAATTGCAAATATTTTTTGTAATTATTGCTTTAGTTTTAGCAAAAATTGTAAGAAAAAGTCTCTCAGTGTAGAAACGGGATTAAATGAGCCCCCACTCGCCCTATGTTGCCATTTAAGATTTTCGACCCCCCTCGCGCCCCCCCGGTCCCTTTGGAGGTGGGGGGGCGCCACCCCCCGCAGAAAGTAGATTTTTTGAAAAATCGTTTCACGTGTTTCAGCGTTTTTTTTTAATGTTGGAAGTTGTCGAAATATTTGACCGTCCCGGTACATAATTGACACCCTGTATATAGATTATAATGTAATTTTTTAAAAAATATTACATACGTGCGCTCGCATGCATATAGAAATGTACAGTGTGCATTATTTTAACTTTCACATTGTAATATATATATCCCAAAAAATACAGAAAAAAGTATTATTTAAAATGATCATGATAACTATTTGTTCAGAGTTAGTAATCTTAATTGCTCTAAACTTGTACCAGGTGTACAAGTATGAAATGCGGATTTGAGAAAACAGATGGCGCATCAATGCAGTGTGTGGTATAAAGATTTGACTGTTATGCCATTTTGAAGTGCCATCAACAAGTGTCAGACGCACACGAGTGATAAATTGAAAAAGTGTTTGCATAGTGTTGTGTTGCTGTGTTCGATATGTCGAAATTTATACCAAACAAAGAGCATTCGCGGACAGCATTAATTTTTTGTTTTCATTTGAAGAAAACTGCTGCTGAATCATACCGATTACTTCGAGAAGCTTATGGTGAACATGCTCCATCGCAAGATACGTGTGAACGATGGTTTCGGCGTTTTAAAAGTGGTGACTTCGATGTTGCAGACAAGGAACACGGAAAACCGCCAAAAAGGTACGAAGATGTGGAATTGCAAGCATTGTTGGAC